AGGTGAGCTCATGAGCCGGCGCTGATGGGTAAGGGAACTATCAGGGGGGGGGGGGGGGTGGGTAAAACCGGCAAGTCATACGACTATATAGCATGGGAAGGGGTCAGGATAAGGATTTGGGAGGGTGCCCAACCATTTGTGGACGGTCGGGGATAGAACGCCGACCTGCATGAAGCGCGAGACCGACGATTGTAAACTCTGTGGAAAAACCTTTAATACATTCACTAGAACACTATATTGTTGAATGTGAAACCGTAAAGGACTTTAGACCTCCTGGCTCTTGTACCACCAACTGTGTAACTATATTTATTGACTCAGGTGTTCTGGACGACATCCTAACAATTTTACCAAAACTTGCTTGTCCATTTTAAAGAATGAAGAACAGTTTTTATTTATATTACTTCTAAGCTGCATCACTTATGAACCCATCCTGCCCTTGTGTGGCAGTGCACAATGGAAAGTTGTTTTCACATATCCATACATTAAAACATTGATTGTAACCATTATATATATGTGCTTCAGCCTACAGTTTAGACCTATTGTCTTGTGTATGACCCTCTGTCCTGCGTGCAGTGAATACCAGCATTATCCTCACTTAAGACTTAATCGAAATCCTCAGATTAGGCAAAATTGTAATTAATTTTGTCAATAAAGATGTTAATAATAATAAAAGTCGTTCTACCGCCCAGCCCAAGTGGTTGGACTGATGAGACAGTCCACTCCAGGTTGACAGTTGCCTCGGCTGGGACGGAACTTACTCACAGCCTCTGAATTGACAGAAGGTCGACTCACAGATCTGTTTGGGCGGTGCTGTGGCCAAATGGTTCCGTCCCGAGTTGTGTTGCTCATATAAGCGATCTTCACCACTGGGTCTAGACAGCAATATATCTTGAGATGATTTCGAGGCTTTAGTGTCCCCGCGGCCTGGTCCTCAACCAGGCCTCCACCCCCAGGAAGCAGCCCGTGACAGCCGACTAACACCCAGGTACCTATTTTACTGCTAGGTAACAGGGGCATAGGGTTGAAAGAAACTCTGCCAATTGTTTCTCGCCGGCGCCTGGGATCGAACCCAGGACCACAGGATCACAAGTCCAGCGTTCTGTCCGCTCGGCCGACCGGCAACGATACTTGTAGTAGTAGTAGTAGTAGTAGTAGGAGTAGGAGTAGGAGTAGTAGTAGTAGTAGTAGTAGGAGGAGGGATGCACCAGTCACAGAAGACTATGGAATTGCTCTCTGGTTGTCGGACTGGCCAGACCAAACAAGGCCTGGCCGAACTTGAGAGAGCTCTTGGATCTCTGGTCGAACTCGAGAGAGCTCTGGATCTCTGGTCGAACTCTAGAGAGCTCTTGGATCTCTGGTCGAACTTGAGAGAGCTATGGGATCTCTGGTCGAACTTGAGAGAGCTCTTGGATCTCTGGTCGAACTTGAGAGAGCTCTTGGATCTTGGTCGAACTCTAGAGAGCTCTTGGATCTCTGGTCGAACTCTAGAGAGCTCTTGGATCTCTGGTCGAACTCGATAGAGCCTTGGATCTCTGGTCGAACTTGAGAGAGCTCTTGGATCTCTGGTCGAACTCGATAGAGCTCTTGGATCTCTGGTCGAACTCGAGAGAGCTCTTGGATCTCTCTCCTTGAAGCCTTAGGAAACATATGGTAATTTTATTCAAAACACTTGCCCGTGGTTTAGTGAAACTGTCATTGGTTATGTAGTTCATTTTTGGTCGCCCGGCCGCTGATGAGTGAAGTCTCTCAACACCGTAGAGGCTGAGACCAACATCAGGAAGCAGCCTCTTAAGAGATGGATTGCGTTCTCTGAGCTCTCACTCTCATAAGAGTCCTCACACGGAAGTAATTGAGGCGAGGGTAATATATTCATGTTTCATTAGGAGGGTAATATATTGACAGCCCATCACCCACCACCAGCACCCATCACCCACCACCAGCACCCACCACCCACCACCAGCACCCATCACCCACCACCAGCACCCATCACCCACCACAGCACCCATCACCCACCACCAGCACCATCAGCCACACACAGCACCCATCACCCACCACCAGCAACCATCACCCACCACCAGCACCCACCAGTACCACCACCACTAGCAACCCACCAGCACTCACCACCCACCACCAGCACCCACCACCCACCACCACTACCACCAGCACCACCACCAGCACCACCACCGCTGGCGACAAACGCCTCCACATCTCAGGTCAGGGCCCATTACGTCGGGGCCCACTCCCCCTCACAAAGTTATCATCGCTGGGGCTTTAAGCCGCAGGCAGGGGAAAATAAATAATAGAGATTTGGAAGATAGATGGTAATATAAAAAGGGAAAAATAGTCGATTTTGTGTGATGGAGGAGTCGGCGTGATATTGCCGAGGTTCAGGTGTGCCTTTCAGGTGTGCCTTTAGGTGTGTGTGTGTGGGGGGGGGAAGGGGTATGTTCTCTTTCTTCTCTCTCCCTCTCTCTCTTTTTCTGCCCCTTCTCCTGTCCTT